AAGGTCAAACAACCTCTATACAACTAAAGGAGACTGCGACCACACAAAAGGCCACACCATCTTGGTCTTTATACCTTAGCTAACATTCTGTTTAAATTCGTCACGTTCCTTTCATTTTCTTTCTCTACTCCGTCGTGGTCCGCAGAGTTTAGAATGTTTTATTCGGCGCCATCTTTAAATGATTGTCTTTCTATTGTCAGCTTCCCCATACTGTATTTCCGCCGTTTCAAAATAGGACAATTGGTGATTCTATTTGTTCTTTCTCTCTCGGGGCCTCCATCTTTGAAGTTGTAGAGGGCAGGCGTTTTATATTTTAGAGACAGTCCACGTCCTTCGGAACACATAAAACTAAATACTTTTTCGACTTAAATTTTATAGATCCACTTTGAGATATAGAGAGGATCAATTAAAGATGAGTTTTTATTCTATTCGGCCTGATCCTTGCGAACACCACTGTGGTATTTGCTGTTTCTTCGGTGCTTATAAAATAATATTATATCAACTATGGATTGGCGTAATGCTTACACCTCTATTATGAGCGTGGTATTGCAATGCTATCTATCTGTTCGAAGATATTCATATTTGCTTCGAAATTGTTATTCCAAAGTGCCATAATTAATGTTATTCACATGATGCTCTTATTAACTTTGCTCCTGTAATTATTGTGCAATGAGTCTTGACTTGTATGCTTCGATCTTCATCTTAGACTTATAACATGCGATCTTTTGTTCAACCTTTAAATCTGGATATCTGATATTCTGAGGTCTTTGTGAATGAATGATTTGAAATGGTTTGCGTTATGCTTTTCTTTGATTCAGGAAGGACCTGCCTGGGTTATTTTATTTGCTTTATTATAGGATTCTTCTAAATTTTTTGTCCAACGAAAATCCTTTGGGAAGATTTTATTTACAACTAGTCTTTTGTCGTCGGTAATGGTAAATTATTTTGACCTTGTTTTCGCAACTCGGTCATATTGGTAGGAAGACTTAGATGAACGCACCTTGCCCAGAGTCCATTGTATACATCATTATTTCTATACAACTAAAGGAGACTGCCACCACACAAAAGGCCACACCTTACGTTTTCCTACCCTTCATTTTATTTGAAAATGTGAGTTGAAAGGCTTCGTAAATTAGCTTCACCGGATACCGAAAGATGATTGCCTTGGATATTGCCGTTGGAATTGTGATTGCTGGTTTGTACTGTAGCACCAATGAATCTGTACTGTGCTCTTGTTTATCATGTGACAGACGCCGCTAGAGTCAAAAATCATAAGTAAAAAAAATTCACCAATAAGTTCGACTAGCTGATATCCTACTCGTACATACTTTTGCGATCTTAATGAAACATCCCATATTTTTTGTCTCACTTCAACAATAGATCAAGAAGACTGTCCATGAGAATGTAAATATGACCACTGCTATTTACTTGCATGGATAACCTATTGTTGGATCCTGCAATATTGACGCATATTTTAGGTTTATGGGGCACTTGGCCTGTATGTATACAATGTTTGAGTCAATTTATATGTTAAAACCCGAACCAGACTGAATTAATCAATTATGCTCTGATGTGTGGTCGGATTTTGAAAGAGTTCAGCCAGGACAAGAAATGGCGTAGGTCTGTTCAACAATCCTGCTTTGGATTCTTAAAAAAACTTTTTAGACGTTATTTATTGATGGTATTATTTAAGTAATATAAAATGTATTCACCCTATTTCGTCTTCGTATTTAAGTATTGTTTCGAAACTACCAGTAAATCAGTACTATGAGATGTATTCACCCAATTTCGTTACGTATGAAAGTAGGGTTTCGAGACTACCAGTAAATCAGTGTAATGAGATGTATTCACCCTATTTCGTGTAAGATGATATGAGTTGAGCTGACGTTTCCATTGAATTTTACGTGATGAAGGACTGGTAGTAGAATTTTCCCACAATGATATGAGTTGAGCTGACGTATCCATTGAATTTCATGATGAAGGACTGGTAGTAGAATTTTCCCACAATGATATGAGTTGAGCTGACGTTTCCATTGAATTTCACACAATGAAGGACTGGTAGTAGAATTTTCCCACAATGATATGAGTTAAGCTGACGTTTCCATTGAATTTCACATGGCCTTGCTTTCCCAAAATTTGTTCTCATCCTGGGTGGACTGCAGTTTCGACCTCGTATTGGTCTTATCAACACCCTCAGCGAGATTCGAAT